TTTATGAGGTAATTAAAATACTTAAAGTAGTTAAGTTCATTAAATTTTTTTTTTTTTTTTTTTTTTTTTTTTTTTTTGTTCATAATTTGGAGATATTATTTTTTTTTTTTTTACATACATTGCAGCACACATTTTTGGGGTCCAGTGGCTAATTGGGGCATTCCATTGGCTGCGATAGCTGATATCCGAAGTGATCCAAAATATATCTCCGGCAAAATGACTTTGGGTAAATTTCTTAATTACTATAAATTAGAAAGGATTGGAATAAAAAAAAAAAAAAAAAATCAAATCGGGATAAGAATATGTATCCTTTAATCTAATGGATATATAACGTCATTTGAAAATATTTTAATCGTTATAAGTAAACCATAATAACACTCGTTTGGCTAAAGGGTCTGTATAAGGGTCTTTGATCATTTCTTACATAATATAGTGTTTTCAAGGAACTTGCTTACGCCCTCAGATCTTCCATGCAGAAATACTAAAGCATTAACTATTGAAGGCTCGTCAATATCACTGACGTGTTTATCGTCTTTAGGCAACCACTGCCGGGTATTGTGTAGACGAAGGGATCTTTTATTGAAGTCTTATAGAATGATTGCTTTTTCTTATTTTGATTTCTTTTTTTTTTTAAAGCTGTCCGTCAAAAGATTATTATTTTTATTTTACGTTTATATGAAGCCAAACAACGTATTCATTTAAATGTCATCTTTCAGTAGAATAATTAACTTTTGCTTTGTTTCCCGTACGCACTTTAAAAATACGTCCAAGTTTTACAGTTGAGTTTAACTGACTGGTTAAAAGGAGAAGGTTTTTTTTTATTTTTCTTTACTTAACCGATATAATTCACAGACCCGCTCATTTAATTACTCTCATGAGTCGCCAAATTTATAAGAAGTATCATTTGCTAGCAAATAATTCGTTTCTATGAAAAAAATAGAACATTTTTATTCTTTTAAAATGACCTTAGGTTAGTTAATATTTACTTTTCATACTTCCTCTCATCTTTAATTGCACATCGCTTATTGCTCACCGCTTATTGCTCACTGCTCATCGCGCATTGCGTATTGTGCTTCGCTCAATCGTTCCGGTTCATTCGCTCTCTTGATATCTCCATAATTGAATTGTGTTTGTATATACACTGTAAACATGATGACATGATGAACGCTAAGCTATTATTATTGTTATTGTAATCTTTTTTTTCTTTTGTTTAATAAATTAAAGTCAAGTTGTATTCAACCTAGAATTCACCTTAGGGAAGCAAATTTGCTAGTTTGTAGCAACCATAATGTTGTTTTTTTTTTTTCATTTATGGCGTATCAATCGACTGACTACTAGTCTAGACTAGTGTTCTATTTGTTTATTTATTATAGGTTTTGTTGAATAGTTGCATGTAATTTAATCAAAATTTACTATAGATCGTAAGTTATTACTCAAGCACTTGTGCTGAGGGCCTCATTAACATATGCTAACATATGTAATGCCTAGAAGGAGTTGGGATAAATTGTAGATATTCGCTAAATTGATTTAACCATGACTCTCCCTCCCTCCGATCCTGTGGCATATTATGTGCAAGCAAAAGGCTGCACTTTTCAAGCTATTTTGAGTAAATTTAAGATACGCTAATAAGTTTTGGGTCAACAACGCATAGTATTTAGAAAAGATTCGATCAGACCTTTGAACGATCCCCAAGACCTTAAGTTTTCCATAGCAAACAATTCTTGACAAAAATTAATGAAAAATAGTGCTACCGGTTGCTAAATGGATGTGAAAAATTTGATTTGGATGTCATCAGTTTTGAACTGACGCCGTCCATAACACCTTTCTTACAAAAAGTAAGGCTTCATGTTATAATAGAATAAAATATATGGAAATTAGTTCAAAGAACATCGATTTGTTTTGTAAGTTTACTAGACTTACTTCGGTTACCATATGGTACCATTTTTCGGATCTTTTTTCATATAAGAATTCTGATTTAAAATAAGAGCCTTTATGTAGCAACAATTTCGATTTTTTTTAGGTGTATTTTATGTCCGACTATTAGTGCGAAATTGTAGTAGGCGAGGCGATGTAGGATATTTATCAATCGGCCTTACTTAATTTTGATGTAGGTCAACTGGTTTTCACCCTGTTTTCTTTTTCTTTTTTTTTCCTCAGTTACAGTCTTTGCGGGTTTTATTATCGCTTAGTTAAGTGATATTAAGTATTTAAGCTTAACATAATGTGCGACTTTTACTGTTATTCCCGTTATTCTAAAATAAATTCAACTTCTCTTAGTAGCGCTACCTACATGTTCATTTTTCTAGTTTCAAGTAAATCATTTAACAAAAGAAAGGTGTGCAATATTTGTTGAGTTTTAATTAGAAGTTACAAGTTGATTTGTATAGACAAACACACATACATGGCCATGCCTCCGATAGATGAGAATTCAAAGCTAATTTTTTGCATGTTCTACACATGTCGTTAATGGCTAATTAATGGGTTTTTTTTTATTGCTAGCAAAGAGGAGTGCATTGCATTTACTACACCAATATTTCGCTTTATTTACTTTAATAAGTTTCATGTTTACCGATATAATCTTTGCACGCATAGTTAAAGTTTATCATAAAAAAAGCATTTGAAAATGTTTAAAATTGTTTGCATTGATCGATAACAATTTGCAATAAATGTCACGCACACAATGAACGTTAAATAAAAATTTGCATTCACTTTATTAGGTGAACTGATTTTTATACCTAAACCGTGGGCAAGAAAATGTACTCGTATTTTGTTTCCATTTGCAAAGCCAGATTTGCTCACTAAAGGATTAAAAAATATATATGTATGTACGTATATATTTGTAAATATCTATGCGAAAAAAGCGACTAAAATGCTACTATATATATACATATTTAGAACTAATAAAGCAACCTGCTTTTTTCCCTCCTCTCCTAAAATTTTCAATTAGGAGAAACATGTGAAAGTTACACCATACGGTATTAACTTAGATCAGACTTGGGTATAAGATTAACTTCCTGATAGTATGGTACTTATTTTATTTGATCTGAATTTCTTTCCACAAATTGCGTTTGTTATACCCTATACCACTTATGGTAAAAGAACTTATCATATTTGTGCAACTACTTGCAAAATTCATAACTTGAGATAGATCCATGTTTTATTATAGCGGGCTTATCTGTCCGTCCGTTTTTTTTCTTGTTTTTATATCCACCATAGGGATGTTGTTAATAGATTTCACATCAAATATTAGTAGCAGGGGCATCCTTCATTAGTATGATAGGTTTGAATAGCGAAGATGGATTTAACTATGTTCCCCTCTCCTAATGATCTTTCTATATACATCACGAAGACTTCAGACTTCAAATACAAGCGAAATAGACCAATAAAAAAGTTCAAAATAATTCTAATATTGTGATTTGAAAATGCTTTAGATACTTTAGTTGCTTGGTATTAAAAAGTTCGTATGTATTTCTTTCCTATTCTCTAAACTTATTCATTGAGTGTTTAAATAATTAATTTTTACTTCATATATTTTTGGTTTTTCTTTCAGCTCTTACAGTTTACTCGGGGGTGTTTATGCGTTTCGCTTTAAAAGTGAAACCGAAAAATATGCTACTTTTTGCCTGCCATGTAACTAATGCTACCGTACAAACAATACAAGGCGTACGCTATATCAAATATCAATTTTCATCTGATAAAAAGTCGATCGCCGTACCTTCTGCCACTATGTAACAAAGATTTCTAATGGCGAACCATCTAATATGAGAGTTTTTTGTTTTGCAGACGTATCGACGGAATCCTTTTTGTTCTTTCGCACGTTCGTTCTAGGTTTTATAATAGTAATTTCGCCAAAAATCTATTGCATTACAATTTTCTAAACCACAAAGTTTGTTTAGTCCTTGTTCTCAAAAAAAAAAAAAAAAAAAAAAAAGAATAATAATAATCTTAAGTTAATTAAACTTAAGTTTTTTCCCTTAATATCATTTTAGATCAATCAAAAAATATTGAGCCTTACAACACAGATGACGTTAGTTGCGTTCGTTAGCATCTAATGCCAGAATATATTTTCTAGATTATCCTATACATATGTTGTACCCCATTTATAGTCTGGGCTATTCAATGTTATACCCGAAAGCTTTTTTCTACATATCGCTCCGTTAAGTTAGACAGATTAGTCAAAAATCTTTAAGCTTTCAAAAATCGATAGCTTCGGTGACCATTAGCCTTAAATGAATGCATAAAAACAGTAGTTTTTTTCAATTTTTCTGGAGGCTTAATGTTTTTACACAAGCTTATATATATATCTCATTTATTATATATCTGATGTGATATCTGAGAGGAGTTTTTCCAATTTTTATATTAGTTTACAGACCTTGCTTACCCTTACGCACACACAGGTAGCATCAGTTGCTAACAGTACAAAGATATTACTTGTTCTTACGTTTTTCTTGAGTTTTCTGTAGGCTCAATATATATATATATATATATATACCACATATGTATATATATGTACCACACATATATATATACCACAGATTTTTGTAGATAAATACGTTTTGGATATACACTGGTAGATAGAAAAATAGATGGGAGGTATGTTTTTCAGTTCTATGCCGTAGAAATTGTAAGAAGTACCCACGTGAATTAGTTCCTGCAGTAAAAATTTGAGGGTTTTAGTAGGTTTTTCAGCTGGACAGTGAAATAGGTGCTTGATCTTTAAAGTCGTGAAATAAATTGTTTTGGAGAATTTTACTGTTAAGGTAAATTATATAAATATCAGGCAGGCCGAGCACATTATTGTAGCCGACAAGGAGGATGGCTAAATCATTAGTTTTGAAATCAAGGAATGACGTGCAAATTTATTGCCGATTGTCGCGTGTTCTTTAAACCTCCAAAAAAGAGGGCTGAGAGGCGAGGAGCAGAAGGAAAACTTCTCCTGCTTCCAATAATAGCATAATTTTAGCAAATCGAGATGCTTTCAAGTTGTCTAGAGCAATCGCCAATGAAATTCGGAAACCTGCATCATCACGAACTATTCGTCGACGTTTATTAGATGCCCATCCACGAAGAAGAATAGCTCGGAAAGGTCCTTGGCTTAGAAAAAAAGGAGAAGAGGAAAGACTGTCCTTTAACCTCCAAAAATTGATGCAAATCGGAAGGCGAAGAAAAGTGAAAAAATATTGTTTGGAACAACGAAAAAATATAAATATGTTAGGGAATGATGTGAGCAGAAGTGTAGTTCGGTCAAAAGGAAAAACACTCCGCATTAGATTTACTAAAAGAACGGTAAACGGCGGGAAAAATCTTATATTTCCACATGGAAACATGTGTTATTTTTAAAATGAATTCCTTTAAGTTTTTGGTTATGCTTATAAATAAATGATAAATAAAATATATAGTAGGCGGCGAATAGAAAAGAATACGCCCCATTAACATAAAACAACATACACCAGTTGTTCTGTCCACCAGCGCATGTACACGATCACACTTATAAGTTCGTACAAATAATCCATTAATAAATGTAAATATATTGTAAAATTTAAAAACTGTTTCAAAAAAATTGTAGAGAATAATATGTCAAAGACAAAGAGTTTTAAGTCTCTTTATATATGTAAATACATTTGCTTGCCATATGAACTTACTGTTGTGTTTATGGACCTGATAGTACAATTGTAATAATTTTGATCACATTTTTTTTCTCATTTATTTTGTTTTATAAACTAATACAAATAGTTATAATAATAAAATAAATAATTGCAAATAATAATTGCAAAAAATAAATTACTTTCTATTTTCTAATAAAGGTGAGTAAAACGAATGGATAAATTGCATTCTCGCTGGGTACAAAGGAAATGTAATACTTTTAAGGCTTAATGGTCATCTCATTTTTAAGCAAACGCGAGGTAATCTATAGTAAATTACGATGAAAGCAAATTAAAATAACAAGGTACTCTATAGCACTAGAAGTCAAGGCTTACTCTTGACGAGGGCCCTTGTAGGGCAAGGAGGTCGGAAAATACGCATAAAGTAGTTCAAACTTTTCGCAGTAAGCTTATCCGTCGAGTTACTATTTTGCTTCTATTTTGTTCGTGTCAACGCTTATCATTCTTCAAGCGATTCTCCCGATTTATCTTTGCTTGACTTCTGATTATTCTCTAACCCTCCGCCAAACGTCCTTCTGACCCGATTACAGAGGGATTGAATTCGAATTTTAGATGAAATTAAGCGGGTGCTATCTTATTCATTGATATAAAATTTAGCGGAGATGTCAGCTAGCGAGCGGCCAACATTAGAAACGAAAATTACTTCATTAGATACGCTTGCGCACTTTTAATGGAAAAGTATTAATCGCTTTTGGATAGGTATTATTTTGTGAAACATAGGAAGATCGGTTTCACAAAAATTAGAATTAAATCTTCTAAACACTATGAATTGGCCTATCGCCTATCATTGTCAGAACATTCGAACGGTCAAGCAGGTTACACTTAATACTTGCCCCTATGGGTAATTCACTCACGAATGGTTACGAATAACTCCTATGTTTCGGTGATGCTATTTGGCTCCAGAAGGAATAGGATGTGCAATCCTCTTCTTCTCTATGGCTCTGTTCGAACTTAACTTGGCGTTGCCAATCGGCTAATGGATCACATTCGAACTAAGTCAACTGACATAGCCCATCCCAAGTCATTTTTATTTTTGCTTAAAATATATGTGCAAACTAAATACAATATCCACTTATATCGATATGCAAAGTGAATATGTAAAAACAACAATTTACACCTTGCTTGGTGGACCAAAAAAAGAGTGGCGACTTCTGGTAGAATCGAGTGGTAAAATAGTAGCGGAACAGGACCACACCGTTCTCTTTTGGCTATAGCTATCTCTCTTCGGATAATTGAAATACGTTGCTTCTTTAACCGAGCTGGATACCTCTGGATAATAGTGCTAGCTTGGTTTAACGGGCTGAATAATCTGGGATGAATTCGAGCATCTTTCACTTGCGAGGTGGGCTTAATGTGAATCGGAACCCGTGCCCTTCATGAAAATAAAGCCTCTCCGGGCGATTCTCGGAGCCTCTCTAATGCATCTTCATATCGAGCTGCTCAGCTCCACGTCGCATATCATATGATAATTGCTCCAGGCAGTGTACTTCGCTCTTCCGAAGAGCTCATTGGGGCTGTTAAAATGGACGTCACCCATCGGCTAGATCTCGGGGCGGCTTATTGTTTGCTTTCTGGCAGTAACGATTCCCTCGGTATTTGTAAGATGTATCGTTTTTTTGTTTTTCATTACTAAGAGTTAGTACCACGCTCTTTAAAAGAGCATTTTCCGCTCTTACCTACGGGGTCGTTCTCGATGTACTTTATCTACACTGGTGCGGCTTGGCATCCCCGTACGAGTTCAGTCGAGTGCTCATCCTGTCGGTAGATTTCTTACGGCTTCCTTCGTGCGTGTCTGACCAACCATAATCGGCGTGAGAGGTGGATACCCACCTCTTCAGACTCGAAGCTTGATGACACCGCGTCAGTTTGGGTCATTTCAGGTTCAGGTTCATCCGTTTGTA